ACAATGATCCTTGTGTTATGGTACAGTCTTGCATAATTTTATATTTGAGTAATTTCCTTCTAAACAATTGAAATTTGGAATGTTGAAGGGATGTTTACATTATAAAAAGATATTTCTTCTGCCAATATACTTCCTCTCTAGCTTGCTTTGATTGGGCGTGCTGCTCTGTTGAAGACGGCCACATGACTAGACACTGGAGAGAGCCTCTGACCAAGAGCCAGCAAGGAATTTGTGTTCTCTGTCCAAGAACTTGAAGGAAACAATCTGACAAACAACCACAATTGTGAAAGTAGAAGTGACTCATTCTGCAGTTGAATCTTGAGGTTACTTTATCTCTAGACAACACCTTGATTTTAATCTTATAACAAATACTGAAACTGCTAAGCTGTCCTCAGTTCCTGAACTATAGAAATCGCAAAAGGCTATGTGTATTGCTTTAAAAGTTGTATTTTGGGAAACTACAATAAAAAATCACAAGAATTTACAAGGAAAGCCCCTGTCACTTTTGTACTCTCACTCTCATACAAGGATAACTAATATCATAATTTCAAGATTCAGAAATAAATTTCATCAGAGTTCATACTTTTGAATTTCATATAAATGGATGACTCAGTCTATATATTTACTTTGTATCTGGTTACTACATTTCAAATTTTATTTAGGAAATTTGTCATTAATGATTTTAAAAAAATGCATCTATTGTGTGGCCAGAACTAATTTTTATTTATTTGAATCTTCATGGACATTTGGCATATGTCTAGTTTTCCTCAGACCTTGAAAACAGTGCTACTATGCACATCGTACCACATGTTATTTGATTAACAAGTATACTCATTTCTTCTAGGCATATTATTCATCTGCTTTTTAAAAATATTTCTTTTATTGATTTGAAATTCAGAGCAAGAGAGACAGAGAGGAAAAGAGATATCTTTAACCCACTGGGTCACTCCCCAAGTTCCCACAACAGGCAGCCACTGCTGAAGCAGGCCTAAGTCCAGAGCTGAGAACTCCACCTTGGTCTCCTACATGGATGGCAGAGACCCATGAATTTGAGTCATTATCTGTTTCTTCCCACCATGTATAGCAGGAAGCTGTATCAAAACTACAGTAGCCATGAATTGAACTGCTACTCTAATATGGGACATGAATGATCCAAGTGGCAGTTTAACCCACTGCATGATAACACCTGACCCTAAGCATATTATTTAGACAGCAATTACAGGGTTATAAAATATATTTACCTTTAATAGATAAGGTAAGAATGCTTTTCAAAGTTCACTGATAGATATAATAATTGGTTTGCAGTCTAAGAAGCTAATTTTAGGGGTCGGCGCTATGGTGTAACAGGTAAAGCCACTGCCTGCAGTGCTGGCATCCCGTATGGGTGTTGGTTCGAATTCCAGGTGCTCCACTTCTGATCCACTGTCCAAGATGGCCTGGGAAGGCATTAGAGGATGGCCCAAGTGTTTGGGCCCCTACACCTGCATGGGAGACCAGGAAAAGGATCCTGGCTCCTGGCTTCAGATCGGCACAGCTCCTGAAATTGAAGCTAATGGGGAGTGAACCAGTGGATGAAAGATCTCTGTCTCTCTCTGCCTCTCCTTCTCTCTCTGTGTAACTCTGACTTTCAAATAAAATAATAAATCTTTAAAAAAGAAGCTAATTTTATAGAAAACTGAAACCTTTTGCTTATAAACATTCAAAATGTATTTACTAAGTATTTCAATGCATATGATATTTAGGTTTTGTTTTATTTCTTTTATATAGACAGGCAGTACTAAATAATCAAGCAATTATGTTTTGGTGGATTTATTACAGCAAATTGGCCACATTTTTTAATACGAAAGGGACCATATGAATGTTCATAGCAGCTTTGTTTGAAATAGTCCAAAATGATGGACAGATAGTCTTCAAAGGGTGACTTGTAAGCTCTCTGTCATACATTTGTGCCATCAATACTATGGGAAAAGATAGTAGAACAGAAAGTTGATACAATTTAGAAAAAAATCAGGTGAATTTTCCATAAGAAAACAAATAAATAAAAAAGCTAATCTGACAAAGGTACGTATTATAGGTCTCCACTTATATTGTATTCCCCAAGCCACATTATTATAGAAATAGAGAACAAATTAGTATTCCAGATCATTAGGGCCAACTGGGGCAATCAAAAATGAGGATGGTCATAAAGGAGCAATGAGGAATCCATATCTTGACTGAAATGCCCCATATCTTGACTCTACAATACTTGGTTGTGGCACTATATTTTATAAAAAGTTATCATTTTTGTAAACAGATAAAAGGTACACAGGATCTTTGTGCACTGTTTTTAAACAGCATGTGAATCTACAAATGTCTCAAAACAAAACGTTTAATTTGAAAATTATGTGTGAGATATCATACCTTGCATGCTGACTATAGGTGGAAAATGTTCAAATTTGATCAATAAAGAACTAGAACCATATTTCAAACCATATAAAAACTGTTGTTGAGGAACAAACTTGCATAGATAATTTTCTTATTTACACTTTCATAAGTTTGTGTGAAAATGGACTCTTCAAAATAATCTTACATGTAAGGAAAGAACTGAAAGAATGCAGGCAAAGCTACATTTTAAGAAGCAGAAATTAGCCACTCCTTCAAAACCAAGAGAATCTTTTGCAGTAAAATATAATAAATTGTATTTAATTTCAGGAGCCACTCCTCCCCCCCAAAAAAAATTGGTTTCAAAAATTACCATCCATTCCTACTCAAAAGGAAAAGACCTCTTATATAGTTCGGATAAAGGTTGGAGGAATTATACTCCATAAAATGTAAGCAAAAAGGAGTGGGCTTGTAGCCTATGCCATGTATCGCAGTGCCTGGGTTAGAAGCTGACTTCTGACTCATGTGTAAATCTTCCTGAGAACATAGATCCTGGGAGACCACGGTGATAGCTCTAGTAGCTGAGTTCTTTTACGCATGTGGGACCCAGACTGAGCTCCTAGCTCCCAGCTTCATCTGTGGTCCAGACCATGCTGTTGCAGGCAGCCTGGAGAGGGTAACACCAAATACAGATTTCTCTACTTCTCGCTCTCTCTCTCTTAAATAAAGTTAAAAATTTTTTAAATAAATTAATCCCATAAAGTAACACACTATATGATTCTATTTATCTGACATTCCTTAAACCACACAATAATGGAAATAGGGAAAAATTTAGTGATTTTTCTCCTTGCATCCCACCCAAAGATTCTTCATTTGTCAACACCTTCACCAAAGTGGTATATTTGTTTACTATAGAAGAACCTGCATCTAAAGTACATAATTTACATTAAACTTTAAGTTTGGTGTTGTTCATTCTGTGCATTTGGAAAAATTGTAATGATATGTAGCCATCATTTTAGTATCCTCTAGAGAACTTTCACTTCCCTAAAAATCCTCTGTGCTTTCTTTCAGACTTTCTCTCCCAAACTCTAGGGACTAGTGACTCTTTTACTGTCTCCTTAGTTTTGTCTCTTTCGGATTGTCATGTACAGTGGTTGAAATCATGAAGCCTTTGCATATTGACTTCTTTCACTTAGAAATGCTGATTTCAGGTGACCTCGTGTCTTTTCATGGCTTGATAGCTCTTTTTCTTAGTGTTGATTAATATTCCATTATCTAAGTGTACCACAGGGTTTTTTTGCCCCCTAGAGCCATTCACCTACTGAAGTACATGTTGGCTACTTCTGAGTTATGACAATTATGAATAAATTTGTTATAAGAACCCATATGAAGGTTTTATATATGTATATATATATATATATACATATGTACATGGATACATGTATTAATACATTGTTATAGTACTTCTTTATTTTTAAGTTATTTTTAACCATTTGAGAGACAGTACTATGGACTCCTCGGTCCATCTTGAAGATAACATGGTCCTTTCTCAGAATAATGTTTTCAGTGCATAAATAAAATTTTAGAATTACATAGGGAAATCCATGTATTGTAATAAATTTAACAAATTATTTTAGAACATGATAAATAAAATCATTTGTTTTTGTAGTAATATATTAAGTTATGAACAGTTCACAAACTACCATGATTTTATGGGAGTGAATAGTATTGGTTGTAATTAAAATATTCCTAGTGTGTGGTGAAATGATCTACTATTTTTATTGGTGATCAGATAGTTCTAAAGTTAGTGTGTGTTGCCTGTATAACTGAAATTTTAAAGGGCTCAATTCAGGAGCAGACACTTTGTCTAGGGATTAGGATATTAGTAAAGATGCCCCGGTCCCAGATCTGAGCACCAAGGTTCAATATTCAGCTCCAGCTCCTGATTCCAGCTTCCTGTTAATGCAGACTCTGGGAAGCAGTGATGATGGCTCAAGTCATTGGGTTCCTGCCATCCATTTGGGAGATTCAGATTGAATTCCGTGCCCCTGGCTTTAGCCAATCCATTCCCAGTCATTGCAGGCATTTGGAGAGTAAACCAGTGAATCGAATCGGACCGTTTCTCCCTCTCCTCCCTTTCCCTTTCCCTCTCCCTCTCCCTCTCCCCCCTTTCCTTTCTCCTTCTCTCCATCTCTCTCTCAAATATTTTTAAAACTTTAGTGATAAATTTCAGGCAGTTATTCTGAATATGTAAATGTAGCTTTTTTCCCATATCTAAGTTCACATAGCATTTACATTCTCTCTATGGATCATACATGCTGTGAATTTAAAGTTTAAAATAATTAGAGAATGATTTGTTTATTTAACCAGAAGTAAGTGACTGGAGTCATATTGGCCATGGAAAACCATGAATGCATTTTGCTCTTGTAGCTGAGAAGATCCAGTGTGGAATAATTAATCCAGACTTAGATTTTTTTCACCGTATTTATCTTTCTGTCTATATATCTCCATCTCTTTCTATCTGCTTCTTATGTTCTCACTTGCTTTTGTGTGTATCAACCTTATTACTGCATACCAATAATATACTTTCCTTTCTGTATTGTAGAATTATGACTGCAAATAGTTCCAAAGTTTCACAATATCAAAAAGTTCTGCATTCTTGTTAGAACATATGTAACAAATGACTTCTCTATTCGTTATTCTGGATGTGTGTGTGTGTATTTCAGTAGCCTAAGCGGCAAGTACAGTTTGATTAACTGGACTTGATTCATAAACTTGCCCCACAGGAGGGAAAGTGAAAAGAGTGGCTGTATACTGTGATTAGCATCACAAAAAGGTAGGAATGATTTCATAAAAGAAAATTGTGGGAGTAGATGGCTATATGTAGAGAGGAGAACTGATATTCTATGACTGAAACAGACATGTCTACTAAAATAACTAGATTATTTCTAAGGTATCCTTCAGTTTTAATTATATGAGCATAAAAATTATCTCTTCATGAATGCACCTATTGATTAAATGGCAGCATGAATCATATTTTAATGCATCTATGTAATGTTTTACTAGATCCCATCATTAGACTATTTGACTCTTAAAATCCCTTGTAAATTTCCATTCAACACATCTAATGTCACATAATCTAGGTTGATAGTTTATTTCAAAAATAAAAAATGAAAATTGTTAACATCCTGAAAAGCAATTTGATTAGGGGATTTTAAATATGTAACTATAATTGATTTTTTTGGAAAATTTAGATATTTCTTTTTTTTAATTTATGTGTTTATTTGAAAGGCAGAGTTACAGAGAGGCAGAAGCAGAGGCAGAGAGAGAGAGAGAGAGATCTTCCATCCCCTGGTTCACTCCTCCGATGGTCTCAAAGGCTGGAAATGCGCCCATCCAAAGCCAGGAGCCAGAAGCTTCCTCTGGGTCTCATGCGGTTGCAGGGGCCCAAGGACCTGGCCCATCTTCTACTGCTTTCCCAGGCCATAGCAGAGAGCTGGATCAGAACTGGAGCAGCAGAGACTCCAACCGGTGCCCACATGGAATTTGGGCATTCAGGTGGCAGCTTTACCTGCTACACCACTGCAACAGTCCGAAGTATATATTTCTAGTAGGATAGATATCTAGCCTGACTGGGAAAATCTATTGTTATTGTATGCAATTTTTTTAGCTGATATATAAAACATATATGCTGTTATGGGATATTATATGCTGTCTGGATACATGTATGTATTGTGTAATGTACAAATCTTTCTGTAGTTTAAATATGCTTTGTGAAGGAAGTTATGGTGTCATTGTTTTAAGGCCTAGCTTCTGGAATGTTTGTATTTTTTACTCTTTCATGAAAAGAGGACTCAATGAAATTACATTTCATATTCTTTTTTATTTATTTAGTAACAGATAGAGTTAGACAGTAAGAGAGACAGAGAGACAGAAAAAGGACTTCCTTCTGTTGGTTCACCCCCGCCAAATGGCCGCTATGGCTGGAGCTACACCCCGGAGCCAGGAGCCAGGTGCTTCCTCCTGGTTTCCCTTGCGAGTGCAGGGGCCCAAGCACTTGAGCCATCTTCCACTGCCCTCCCGGGCCACAGCAGAGAGCTGGACTGGAAGAGGAGCAACCAGGACTAGAACCTGATGCGCATATGTAATGCTGGCGCTGTAGGCAGAGGATTAACCAAGTGAGCCATGGCGCCAGCCCCCTATATTTGATATTCTTGAGTGTAACTGTATATGTGAAATTAGGTAGCCCCACAAATTACAATAAGCATAACTTAATTTTATCTAGACCATAATTTTAGAACTCTTTTTTATAGGAATAGGTAACATCTTTTTTTAAAAAAAAATATTTATTTGAAAGAGAGAGAGAGAGAGAGAGAAAGTCTTCCATCTGCTTTTACACTCCCCAAATGGCCACAATGGCCAGAGGTGCTGCGATCCAAAGCCAAGAGCCAGGAGCTTCTTCCGGGTCTCCCACACATGGATGCAGGGGCCCAAGGACTCAGACCATCTTCTACTGCTTTCCCAGGCCACAGCAGAGAGCTGGATCAGAAGTGGAGCAGCAAGGACTTGAGCTGGCATCCATAAGGGATGCCAGTACTGCAGGCTGCAGCTTCACCCACTATGCCACAGTGCTGACCCCAATTTGAGAAATCTTTTTTTTAAAAGATTTATTTAGTTATTTGAAAGTCAGAGTTACACACACAGAGAGAAGGAGTGGCAGAGAGAGAGAAATCTTCCATCCACTAGTTCACTCCTCAATTGGCCACAACAGCCAGAGCTGTGCCCCTCCAAAGCCAGGAGCCAGGAGCTTCTTCTGGATCTCTCAAGCGCGTACAGGGACCCAAGCATTTGGACCATCTTCTACTTCTTTCCCAGGCCATAGCAGACAGCTGGATTGGAAGTGGAGCAGCCAGGTCTCAAACTGGTGCCCACATAGGATGCTGGCACTGCAGGTGGTGCCTTAACCCACTATTGCCATAGCGCTGGCACCTTAAGAACTCCTTAAATGCACAGATTGAGGGTGGCTGTTTGTTTTTATTCTTATTTACTAATTTTTAGACACCTCTGTTACTAGCATGCATTATTTCCTCAATATAGGATAAAAAAGTGGTTTGAAATGGTAATAAAGGGGCACAAACCAAAATGTGCATGCTTTCATTTTATGTTTTCCAAACTCATCTATGCATTTTGCAATTGGAGCTTTTAGTAGTGTGGGACAATCTGTTTATACTTTAATTAAGTAGCATGATTATCTTGATAAAAAGACAAGGTCTTGTTTTCTGAATATTAATTAGCAGCAAAAAGGAGAAAAATATGTCCCAAACGTGTTACATAAAAAAGATAAAAGAAGATATTGGTTCCACAATTACACTGATGAAGAATTTCTTTTTTTTTTTATGCTGTGAACAATATTTTAAAAAAATGTAGTAGAGTCTGGTTCGTGAGTAGCAGACACTGTAAAAATATCCCTGCCAGTCAACTCCACAAGATCACTTCAAAAGAGATACTCTAGCTGTGAAGGAATATATTGTTAGAAAGCTGCATGTTTCAGAGGACTTGTTTCTGTGAAAGTGTAGCTCAGGAAGATTCTAAGCACCGGAGCAGTGCTATTTGATACTTTGAGGAAGCCTAAATGTGTAATTTAAAGAAAATTGGTATTCAAATAACTGTGATATTAAGTCACAACAGTCGCTGGAGAAATAAAATGATTTTGAGTAAATTAATAAGATAATAAGGCTGGATTACCTAATATCATGTGAAGTACTAATTCATAACGGTCTGTTGGTAGTTAATCCTATGTTTGATTTGACTTACACTCCCTCACAGCTGGTATTAATGCTCCCTTAAACATCTTTTCATTTTTGTAGTCAGTTTTACTGACCATGTTACATATCTGATTTTAGTGATTTAAATCTTTTTTCTGTTTTTTCATTTATCGTTAATAATAACGATATTATTATCCCTTTCCTTCTGTTTGTTTTGAGTTTAGTTTGTGCCTTTTCATGTGTCCTAATGTAGAAATTTATTGATTCAAGAATATTAATTTTCAAGAAGGTGTTTACATATGAAAATTTCCCTCTAAAGTACCATTTTTGTTGTGTCCTATTAATTTTGTTATGTTGTATTTTCATTTTCATTCATCTCAAGCATTTTCTAATTTGTCCTGTGATTTCTCCTTTGAGGCTTTGATTAGTTAGGAATTTATTCAATTTCTACAACTTTTTGAATTTTTAAAATTTTCTGACATTATTTCTAATTTCACTTCAGTGTGATCAGAAACATGCTTTGCAATAAAAAAAAAATTAAATGTAGTGAGACTTATTTTACGGCCTAGAATATGTACTATACTGCAGAATGCTTTCCATTGATCTCTGTTGAGTCTTGCTTTCATTTTATGTTTTGCAAGGTTTCCAAAACGAAGTATGATAAGTTGGCTGACATAAAATAACAGAAATCTAAAATCAAGGTGTTTCCAGCACCAACCCCTCTTGTCAACTCTGAGTACTTTCATGCCCTTGTTTTACATTCTAGTGTTGTTGGCATTGCTTGGTGTTTCTTGATTGGCAGGTGTGTAATTCCAATCAGTTTTCCATTTTCACATGACACTCTCCCAAATGTACTTGACTGCTATTGCTTTTTCTATATGGATAATTCACATTGGATTAGGGCCCATGCTAATAAATTCATCTTACCTCTGTTACATCTGTAAAGGGTCTGCTACTAAATAAGTCACATTTACATATGCTGGGAAATAGGTATTAAGCACATCTATTTAGGAGGACCAAAGTTCAATCACTAACACTTACTATTATGTTTTACTTATTTATCATGGATATTTGTGTCTTCCACAACCAACAAACCATATGAATAAGGAAGATTGACTATTTTTAAAGGACTTTAATCTTTATGTCTAAATACATACCTGATTCATAATTTGGTGGACAGATAACATTTTTGTGTGAATTAATGAACAACAAGCTGCCTTCTCAATCTAAATATCTATGCTTAATAGCTTTTGTTACTTTGCCCAGACTATAGTTTGTGCATTAATCAGTATCTTTTCCTTCTTTGCTACTGAAAGTGACACTATTTTTTCTAGATAATGCTGATTACTCAGTAACAATATGAGTTATACAGACTGTAAGGATGTTTTCAAACTTAGTAAATTTAACTATCTAAATGAGAGTAACCAAATTCACCTTCTATTTTCATAGCTTATACACTATGTTAGCTCTCTTTTAAATTTTGTATTGTAGAAGGAAACTCAGTTTAGCTTAAGTTATGCTTATGCAATTCTGTAATAGCTTAGACTGCCTTCACAGTTGAATACATATGATAGGGTGCCAAGAAAGATGGAAGTAAAAACTGGCTGCCTGCTTCATTTTGCTATTTTCAAGTTAAAAGAAGGATTTTGGCAATTTAGCTTGGTTGTATATAGAGTTATACTTCAACATCGATTAATACAATTCAGAGTTGCTATTACTCATTAAAATTTTCGAAATATTATCAATTAGTGATAACCACAAATCCTGGCTACCCTATTACTCTCTTGGAATATATCTTAATTTGATTCAGCTTAGCTTTGTGTAATTTTTCATTCAGATGATACAACCAAGTTGAAGTGATCAAAGAGCCTTTATGTTTCGACTAAACTATTATTAGATTTCTAAAAACATTCCAATAAACTATGTGAAATAATAATAATGACACAGGGAAAATATGCTTATTCAGATATTACTAAATATGTAAGTGCATTTTGATTTGTTTTATTGTTTAATAATTGATTTATTATAGGTTTAGAAGAATTTTTATGAAAATTAAAATTTTTATTGACAG